TGTTACATACTATCTGCTGCTGGACAATCGTTTTCGCGTTTCCAATGGCTATCTTGGATCTGAATTCCAGGAGAGCATGGTAAATACATCCTTTTAATATATAATACTTATTGTTAAAACTGAAAAAAAATAAATTGGGGTTTGGTTAATAATATTAACTATGAAAAAGGAAATATAAAAGGGTAGATTGTATGCAAGTAATACTATATACTATTTCCCATATTGTTTTTTTCCTGACAAGTGTTGGTATTAATAGTTTCTACTTGACGATATTCAGGAACTTGGGTTTAACCGAATGACTCAAAACGAGACTTTACCATCTCCTGGTGGGCAACAGTTTCTTGGAGCAGTCGATTATCGGCAGTTTGCAGTTGACCGGAAATGGGCACTTGGACTTCAGGTTATTAGTCAATTTGCTTTCTTGTAGTCCATTAACAAAATATGCTAAATTTGAGTTGATGCAAATTTCCTCCCTAAAGAAAAAAAAAAAAAGACTTATTAATGTCTTATTAATCTGAGAAGATATTCGCATGCCTGAGCAATTCTGCTGTGATCATCAAGCAAATTATCTGCTGTTTAGTTATTCTAGTTATTACCTGTGATTTCAAAAGATAATTCGGCTTTTTCATTAATCTGTTGCTAGTATTCGTACTTATGCCCATTCGGCTCTATTTTTTTTTTGGCTGATAGTCCCGAGCCCACCCGCGTGAGATAATGACTGAGGTCCTCAAAGCTCTGCAAGAACTGAATGTTTACTGGAAAAAGATTGGGCATTACAACATGAAATGCAAATGGACTCGCGTAAATCCCGGTCAGCATGAAGGGTTACTTAACTTTCTTGGAGGTGATAATTCTGCTATTATCGAGACCGATAGCAATGTTAGGCCACAAAGTGTGGTGAAGTTTGAGTTGCAGGTAAATTAATCATTTTGCACTTTTCTTCTCATTACTGTAGAGATAAGGTAAATAGTAATTTTAATGTTGTTTTCAGCTCTACAAGACGCGCGAAGAGAAATACTTGCTCGATTTGCAGAGAGTGCTCGGGCCACAGTTCCTCTTTCTCGAACTCTGTGCTGCATTCCTTGCTCAGCTTCGCGTACTCTGAAGTTCTTAGGCTCTTTTTTAGATTTTTCCCGTCAAATATTATTCGGATTACATTTGATGTTAGAGGTTAAAAATCCTGTAAATAATTGTTGCCGGACTTGAGCCTTGTCTCGTCAGGTGCATAAGCGTAACTTTTTCGCTGAGTGAGTAGAAATTCCCGCCCGACTCAGAACTCGCGACTGTAACTCACCTATGTTATTTATTAGGGATTTTTTTTCTGAAATTTTCTCCAAGCTCAATGTCAATGAGCTGCTAGCTGCATTCTGCAAGATGCTTATGCATGATATAAATAATCAGTTACATTGTC